GCTACAAATGAGTTGCTTTTTGCTTCGAAAGGCCTATGTCAGACCAGCATTTTGTATTATCATTTTGAATTACTCCTCTTAGCATTTTTGTTGTTAAGAAAGCAATGAATTGAAAAGTCTATGATTTTTAGCTCAGGCACTGAAGGCTTTTTGCAGTGTTTGGTGTCAGCTACAATATGGTGTCAGTGCTTACATGGCGTGATGAAGTAATTCCCTCCCCACCTAAGTCCTCATGCACACTGGATTTTTTTTTATAACACTGGTGACGTTAGCTGTGTAAAGTCATGTTAAAAACATGAGTTTTTCAGCTTTTTTTAGCATTTTGCATTAGCATTTTAACAGCGTTTTTCCATGTTTCCATTTTTTTAGGGGGTTTTTTTTTTTACCAAAAAAATTTTTGCTCAAAAAATGTCCAAAAACACAGGCGTTTTGCCGTGTTTTTCAGCGTTAGAGCGTTTTTACAGCTAAAAAACTCTAGAAACCCACTACTACTGGGTTTTTTTCCAGCCAAAAAACGTTGATTACAGTCTGTGTACACATAGGATAACATGCTGGGGGGTTTACTAGCTGTAGAAAAAAATGTCAAAAGCCAAAAACAGCAGCTGAAGAAACGTCAAGTGAGCATGAGGACTAAATGTGACAATGTTTTGGACCTAGCAATTGGCCACTAGGCCATACTGGGGGGGAGGGGGGGCATTTGCGACACATTTATGGTGGTATGTATGTAAGTAGAAGCACATTCAACAAATTAGTAGTTCTTTGTGTGACACTTTTACTATTTGTTGCTATACTTGTGATGAATGACAACAAATAAATGCCAACAATATTGGGGATGAGCAAATCGGAGATACATATTTTCTATTCCATGTTGAAGTAAATTGTTGATTATGTCAAGCAAGTAATTATTGTGTCACATCTTTGAGACGATTCTGCAATTACAATTTGTCTTTAAAGAGGCAGTCTCTATTTAAAAAAATTAAACAGTCAACAGCTGCAAATATAGTAGCTGCTGACTATTTTTTAATAAAGGGTCACTTACTTGTTCAGGGATCCAGCGCCCAGAATGGTTCTTTGCCAGTCTTCAGGTCAGGTGCCGGCATGTTTTAGTGTAGGAAGTCTAAGGTGACTTCTTACGGCTTCACATCTGGCTTCTCACTGTGCATGCATGAGTTGCACTGCACTTTGTGAATGGCTTCGCAGCCTCTTGGAACCAGTGATGTGTCCCATGAGGATGCGACCAAGGGGGTGGGCAAAATGTTCAGCGAAAGTGAAAGCAAGTACCTGCCAACACTAGGTAATCCCCCCAAAAAAAAAAAAAAAAAACTATAAGGCCTTTGCAAAGCTGCTATAAAAAACCACTTTCTGTGTGCAATTTACAAAGCACAAAGTAACCAACTACAAAATTTGCTACAATAGCTGTGAAAGATCAAACTCTTATCTTTACCAGCAGACAAGCACCCTATGCATATCTCATATGTTTAAGCATAAAAAATATAACAGACAGTGCAGCGCTTAGTGTGCCTATAGATATATCGATAACTGTGCAATAAACAAACTAATAAAACTTAAAAATCATTAATATACAGCATTAGTAAAAAAAACTCCTTTATTTTCGAAGAACTTCTTCCACAAACTGTTCCACCTCATACAAATAGACTGAACAGAGTGCTTTATCCCTATTAAAAACTTTTATTGTATCCTTAAGGGCTAGTTCACACTAGATGCAGTTCAGTGCACTTTTTTCTGCATCAAAAATGCATGCACAGTGTTTCCCATGTATTCCAATGGCCCTGGTTCACACTAGTGCAGTCAGCTTCCGGTGCCGAAAAAAAAGAACCTGCTGCATTTTTTTCTGCACAGAACCATACTAGAACATAGCAAACTGCATCTGAACTGCGTGTGGTGTGAACTGTAAGCAAAAATGTGTCCGGAGTACATTTTTATGGTGTGAACTGGCCAAAAAACATAAAATTTACACTCACATGTAATAGTTTCCCTATCGAACCAGATGTAAACAGTGTTCAAAACTAAAGTCATTGGTCCTGTGCAATACCACTCCTACTGCCGATTAGGTGGCCACACTAGCTAACCCAGTAGACGTCATCCGAGGCCCCACGCAGATTCACAGAAGCTGTGAAGTTTTGAACTGAGCCCACAACAGGAGATCAACATGGTCCATTAAGAGACAAAAGGCGTTTATTGACCAAGTATAAATTATGTGAGGTCATATCATGGAGGTGAGCATACGTCTGGTGGTGGTGATGGTATAGCACACAGGTGAATTGAGCACAAGGTGTCACAGCACAAGAATCCATTCATTGAAGATAAAGAACTTTTTACTAATGCTGTATATTAATGATTTTTCATTTTGTTTTATTTTCTATACTGCACTGTTATCAATTATATTTATATGCACACTAAGCACTACACAAACTGTCAGTTGTAGGTGAAAAACAAAACTCCAATATTGTTAGAGGAGGGGAAGAAGAGGATTCTTAAAAGCAGAAATTCTTGTTTAGTTTGAAGTTCTATGTTATGTTTCTCTGTAACTGATGTGATACAGTTCCATTACTCTTCCAACTTTTCCAAATAGCTTCTCTACCTTTAAAACTCCACCACTTGGCAGGTGAGATGGTTGCGTCAGTTTGGTCAGAGTTGCAACAGATTTAAATTCACCTTATGAACACATACATGATTCTATTACAAGATCCACCATTTGTCCCACTACCACAGATTTCTAAAGAGTACCTACACCTAATGAATTCCAGGACGTGCCGTGGCAGTATAACTAGGTTTGGAGTCTTCCCTTAATGGGCAAAATTTTATCTGCTGGAAGCTGCCGTTGTCTTACTTACACGTTAGACTAGTAATGGGCTTGGGTGTTACCTGGGTTTGGTCCAGACTCAGGTTTGTCTAATCCTGGCATTAGCTGTCAGTGCTGGGCCAATCAACTGCAGATGGGAAGTTCCCTGCCCTGCAGCTGGCATAGACAAATGGGTGGCGATGCTTGTGATATCATTGATCTAATATGGGCCCATGGCCATATTAGGCCAGTGTCATGCAGCTGCAGGGTGGGATATCTCCCACCTGCCGTTCATTGACCCAGCAATGACAGCTAACCTAAAGGTTTAGACCGAACCAAAGCTCATTCCTATACAAGACTAGTGACGAAATTCAGTTTGGTCCAAACAGGGATCAGTCTGAACCCAGAGGGTGGCTTCTTCACTATTCTTGAAATAGCAAGCAGCTTATGAATTAGATAGTGCCACCACCCATAAGGAAGGTATTTAGCTTGGTAAAAAATTTTTGTTCTTTAAACAAGTTTTTTTTTTTAATAGTTAAAAAAACCTCTTTTTTAGGGATGTTAGCTAATGAAATTCAATACCATTACCCTGGAAAAGGCTGGTTATAGGTATCTAGAGAGAATATTTTACCATGTTATTTTATCACTTCTGTTTGCTGCCATATGCTATAGATCTGCGTGCTCCGCTGTCATTTCCTGTGCTGTTCTGTGTGGTTAGGTCCCTGTCAGATGGTATTAAATAACAGCAGGTATCTCAAACATGATAGCTTGTATGTTTTCATTTTAAAGCCCTTCTTCAGCCTCATCATCATGTGCACAACTTCTGTTTGATGTCCCTATAAAATATGTTTTCTTGTGGAACAATCTGTGAAATCAAATCCATATTTAGGAAATGATAAATTCCTATGGCACAAATGAGAAAATAGCATAGCTAACTTTTTATGTATTTCTGTTTTAAAACATCATCTCTGTAAATATGATACCAGTTGTATACATTAGCTACTTCTGCTTTAATTACCTCTTTCTCTTCTTGATTGTACTATTTAAAGTGTAACTAAAAACAACTTTTTTTTTCCAAGTTTTGGATAGAGTGGAGAGGGATTAGAACAACTGTTTTACTGCTGTCTTTGCCCCCATTAGGGAATTTACCCTATTTGTCGTGTTTACTGTTATCATCAAAAGTAAAACGAAAAGAAAATCCCAAATTTTGGGTTGACACCAGAACAGTAATATAGGTGAAATCTTCCAATGAGGACACTGGTGACACTCCAGGATTCCCTCACTTTGGGGACGGGGGTTCTTCTTCTTTTTTTGGCTATGAGACAAGAAGTGAAGGGAAATCTCCCCTATGAAACACAGATAGTAAAAAAACTGACAGGGATTATAACAATCCTATACTCTATCCAAAATGAAAAAGAAAGTTTTGCTGTTAGCTAAGCTTTAAACCACATACGTAAAGAAGGCACTTTCTCTGCTCTTTTTTTTTTTGCTCTTTTTGTTCATTTTCATGCACCACTTTGCTGTGCAAGCTAGTACAGGGAGCATTGTGATGCACATTTCAGTACATCAAACTGTATTTTTTTTTCTTTTATATAACTTTAAGTGTTACATACTGACACTTCATTCATGTCATTGCACAGCAGGGTGGTGCATTGTGCTGCTGTGTGGCGACATGCAGTGCCATCCAGTACTGAATAATGCAGGTGACTGCATTGTGAGTGAGCCCTTATTACCGTTGCCTTGCTTCTCTTCTCTCTAACCATTAACATTGAAATCTCGTTTCCTCTGCATTGGCTGTAGGTGACCTTATGGACTTTCTGCCTCACATAGTGTTTTACATTAAGGCCAAGAAGTTCAGTTTTGGTCTCCTCAGACCAGAGAACCATCTTTTATTATACGTTTGCTGAGTCTCATACTCTACATGGCTATTAGCAGCTTCCACATAGTATTGGATATGTTGTATGGGTACGGTATTTTTTTTTTCTTAAGTAGTAACTTCCTTCTTGTCACCCTTGAAGAAAGCCAGGTTTTTATGGAGAAAAATTATCGTTCGCTAATATCTCTACGGTCAATGAAATTCTGTGCACCTCTAATGTTGCAGGGCTCCAATGAGATTAGGAAGATCAGTGGGTTGGAAAATCTGAAGAGATTACAATCTTTGGATCTCTCATCTAACCAGCTGTCCAGTCTCGAAGGTCTAGAGGGACTGAAACTTCTACATACACTTAACCTGCAAGACAATGAAGTATGTGACTCATCTTGTTCTTATGGTAACCATTATAATCTAAAGTTTAAAGAGTAACTCCACTTTTTTGGGGGAAAAACCCCATTCTCCTCTGGGTAATCTATGTACATTGCAAGGATTTTATCAAATGTTTGTTGCAGATTCCTACCTTTTTTATTCTGAAGAAATAGCTGTTTGTGTCCATGAGCAAAGTGAACGTGAAAAGGAGTGACTTTTTCATGAGTGATCAGGTGCTGGACTTGCAGTCTTCTAATGAGGAAAATGACAGGGTCTGCATCTCTATAGACATGATTATCCCTTTGGGATTATCTTGCCAAAACTGAAATATTTGTTGCAAAGGATGCCAAAAATCTAATTTGACTTTGCAGGCTTTTGGAAAATCAGTGAGCCAATCACACAAGCAGGAAATTACATTTGTTTACAGAACATCTTCAGGTTACCATATTAGATTGATTTTACAGATTACAGCACTGCAAATTTAAAAGTAAAGGTAATTTTAATAATGCTATATTACCATATGGCTTTTGCCTCAATTGTATTTTTTATTTGCAATATTTTTCCCACGAAAGTGGAGTGACCCTTTAAAATGGCATTGCTTTAATAAAATTCCCCAAACGGCCAAAAACTTTTGTCTTCAACCCTGTGACTTTTTATTTTGAAACATTTTAATGAACATGGAAAACATAATGTGAGACACTTTTATATTCCATATATATGTTTATTAAAATGCATAAGGTAACACGTATGACATTTGAACATAGGTCATAATACAAGCGGTTTTCTTCAAGAAAAAACACGAGATTATTAGAAAAATGACAAAGATAGTGTAAACCATTGCCTGATGAACAAGCAGAAAATAAGAATATTCCCAGACAGATGGATGTATGCAAATCAAAGAAGGCAGTCCTTGCTAGAAACAAATTACATGAACCCAGTCCACAAAGGACCAAAAACAGAACAAAATCAATTGGTAGAGGTAATATCAATAGCATAATAAATTTGTAGTATCAGTGACACAACGGGGAAGTATGGGAGAAGGGAGGGTAGTGATAGGTAGAACGTGTGGGAGAGAGCAAATTAAAGAACCCCATTGTTCCTATGCCTGAGAATATGATCAGGGTGAAAGCCACAAGAGCCCTGAAGTCATTCTAAAACAGTCAACAATATCCAGCAGAAAAAGAAGGAAAAGAAAAAAGTCAGGAAAGAAGAAAGACAAAGAGAGGGTCAGCCCAGGACTCATCAAGGGACTGATATGTATCGGATCCATGAATCCCAAGTTTTATAAAATTTCTGGGTAGTGTTATTAAGGATACAGTCTGTCATTGACCATAATCCAGTAGTTAACTCTTGACATAGTCAAGGGGGACCATCGACTGCTTCCAATACTTGGCAATACTAATACTTGCCGCCAAAAACATATGTGATTAATTTTGTTGACCTCTTGGGAACCACATTAGGGAATTTTTGGAAAAGGGTGGTTTCGGGGGATCTATGGATATGTACTCCCATCACTGAGTAGGACAGATTAAACATCCAAATCCAAAACCTGATCACTACAGGGCTGCCACCAGATGTGGCACATGGTTCCAACCTGGCCACAACGCCAGAAATAGGTGGGCGATACAGATGGGTGCATTCTCGCAACTCATGTAGGGATGAAGTACCATTGTAATAGTGTTTTATTATTAGCTTCTATTAGGGTTACATTATTAGACACTGGATAAAGCATAAGCAATATCTTGCCACTCAGATAAGTCAAAAGTAAGATTCAAGTCTCCTTCCCATTGAGTCATATACTTGAGTCATATAGGGAAGCTTGGAGATCGGGTCACTGAGGGAAGCATATAACAGATATGTCTCTTCAAACGGCCCTGGGATTGGCAAGAAAGTTCAAAAGTCGTAAGAGTAAGAGGTCCACCTAATAAATTGAGTTTAGATCGCAGGAAAGATACAATTTGATTATATCTAAAGATTTCACTAGGGAGTATCTGTAGCTTATCTTTGAAATGTTGTAAAGAGTATATTTGATCTACGTTAAAATAATTTTTTATCTTGAGTAGCCCCCTTTATTAATCCATTATTGAAATTATGTGGGTACCAATCCAGGCGGAAACTCTGGGTTGCAAAAGAGAGGGGCTAATGGTGTATGTGGAGATAACAGGGACTTAAGATGGCGTACTCTATCCCAGACAGCTAATGAATGCGATAAAGAAGGACATGTATAGGAGGGCGTAGATGGCTAGGAAGCCACATTAAGGAACCAATGGCCAAGGGACAGCAGGAAAGGGCTTCGATGGAAACCCAATGGGGTGTAGGCCCTGTAGCAGTAGTATAAGCTAATTGGGCAATTTGTGCAGCTTGAAAGTAGGCTTGTAGGTTTGGAAGGCCAATCCCACCTCGTGGCATTGAAGCATATAATGTTAGCTTGTTCATCCGGGGAATGATAGCATCGTGGAGGGTCTGCACTGTGGATGGGCGCAATGAAACATTGAGAGCTGTTGTTTTTTTTATAGTTCAGGGAGAGGCCAGAGATTTGGAAGAATTGGTACAAAAAGGGATAGCAGATTAGGTAAAGTAACTTCGGGGTCAGTAATGTGTTTCATTTGTGTTCTTGTTGTTCACAACTGACACCGTGAATGTCAGAATGTGAGGGAATTGCCGTGGCCAGCGGTTCAATTGCTAGCGCAAAAATAAAGGAGAGAGCGGACAGCCCTGTCTCGTCCGCATCAAATGGGAAACACTGAAGATCTATATCCTCTGATGGAAACTTGAGCTGAGCGGGAACTATGTAGAGTTTGCAATAAAGAATGAAAGATGGGACCGAACCAAAAGGCCTTCAAGGTAGTAAATAAATATTCCCATGTTAAGCTAGGGAGACACTTTTAAAACCCTGTACTGCATATGTGAATTTTTTGCTGTTATCCATAGCAACAATTAGATTTTTTTTTTATTAATTACCTATAAAATCTATTTCTTTGAGTACATCTCGGGACACAGAGCAGGTTATCAACATAACTATCTGGGTTATGCGCCACCTGTAGGTGAATGGACACTGGCAGACAAAAAACAGACAGGAAGTCTGCCCCTTTATAACCCCACCTACACAGGAAGTCCCTCAGTTTTGTAGCAAGCAATAAACTCCCAGAAGGAGGATGTACCTATAAATCTATTTTATAAGGAAGTAGAAATTTTCTTTATCATACGATGCAGAGCAGACTATAAACATAACTATCTGGGATGTCCCAAAGCAATGTCCTTGAGAGGAGGGAGATACACATCACAGAAAACTGCCACTGGCCAAAGGACCTATTCTTTCCACATGTAACACACTGCGGCCAAAGGCAATATCCTCTGTAGCTCTGACTTCCACTTTGTAGAACCTTGTGAATGTATGAACTGAGGGCCAGATAGCAGCCTTGCAAACCTGAGCCACCAACACCAGTAGGCAAATTGCCCAAGAAGATCCTACACTTCTGGTAGAATGCGCTTTTACCCGAAAGGGTGGGGCTTTACCCTTCAAGCTATAAGCCTGAATGATTACCTGACGGATGCAATGAGAAATAGTTGTCTTGGATGCCGCTTGCCCTTTCCTGGGCCCTTCTGGTAGCACAAACAAGGAATTCAACCTTCTGAATTGTGCTGACCTTTCCAAATAGACTCTTACAGCTTCCAAAGAATGCAGGGTCCTTTCTCCTGCCGCCCGAGGATTTGGGAAAAAGGAGGGTAGGACAGTGTCTTGATTCAGTTGAAAATTAGAAACCACTTTAGGCAAAAAGAATGGATGAGAACACACAACACCACCTTATCATGATGCAAAATCAGAAACGGCTGCTTACAAGAGAGCTACCAGCTCTGACACCCTCCTTGCCAAAATGATTGCAATCAAGAAAAACACTTTGCGCATGAAAAGGATTAGCAAAGCATTGCCAATAGGTTCAAAGGGTGGCTTCTACAAGACTGCCAATACTAAATTTTAAGTATTAACAGCACAAGGGTGGTCTTCCACGAGGGACCATATGTAGTAACCCCTGCAAAAATGTCTGAATCAACGAGTGTGAGGCAATCGTTTTTTTTTTTTTTTTTAAAGCTGAAATCTGACCTTTTTAATAGTGCCTTAAGGCAACTTCATCTCCACTCCTGACTAGAGAAATTAGAGAATTCTTCCAATCACATATTTCCGGGGATGCCATTTTCTGGCCTCACACCAGACAATGTAAGATTTCCACAACCTGTAATAGATGTTTCTAGAAACCGCCTTCCTGGCGTTTGGAAGTGTAGAGACCACTGTGCCTAAAATCCCCCTATCTCTCAAGATCTGGGCTTCAATAGCCAAGCCATAAAATTTAGCGAACGTAAGGCAGAGTGGAATATTGGTCCCCAAGACAGTAGGTCTGACCGGGATAGAAGAGCCCATGGACAGTCCAAAGCCATCTTCACAATGTCTGCATACCAAGCCCTCCTAGGCCAGGCTGGGGCTACCAATATTACCCAAATTATTTCTTCTTGAATCCTGCGTAAGAGACGTGGGAGAAACTGAATTGGGGGAAAGGCAAAGATTAAGGAGAGAACTGGTCCCAAGGAACCACCATGAGTGGATCTCTTGTCCTGGGCACACATTTTGACAATTTGCCCAATTTGTTGTTGAACCTGGATGCCAATAGATCTACGTATGGGGTTCCCCAACACTGGCAAATTGCCAAAAAAAATTTGGGGCGCAAAGACCACTCCCCTGGAACTAACTGCTGGTGGCTGACAAAATCTGATTGCCAGTTCTCTACCCCCAGAATGTGTATTGCTGATAGAAAACACACATCTAACTCTGTCCAATACAGAATGTGGTTTACTTCCTCCTGATCCAACCTTCTCCTGGTGCTACCTTGGTGGTTCATATAAGCCATGGTTGTTGCATTGTCGGACTGAATCCTGATCAGATACCCATGCAGTATGATCGTCCAAAATTTCAGAGCAAGGTGTACTGCCGGAAGCTCAAAGATATTGAT